CTACTCAATTGAAAACTAGTATGTACTAAGGTATAGTATCTCACAACAGTACTCTACAATGGTTGTCATGACTGTACTCTTTCTGGACCCTACTACACTGTACAAATAGGATACTTTGTTCTGCTTCTGATAAAAGCCAATCCATGATTTCGTCCCAGACCTCTATTCTGGCATCTGCCATCAACTTATACTTAAATGTGTTCATGTCATTCAGACAGAATATATACTTGAAGTCTAATAGAAGTTCCTTAAAATATAGATCTCTAATTGTAAGGAAAGTATATTTCTGCTATTAGCTTGATTTTCAGTTACAATCCTCTGATATTATATCAAATGTACCTTAATATATTATATTTGTCTATTATAAATAAGTGTATTTTAATAACATTATTTACATATAGGTTACAGGTCAGGTCAAGGTCAGGTCGGGTCAAAGTGGGTCAGGAAAATTTGGGAGAAGGCTGACCCATGACCTGACCCAAATTTGACCTGGCCTGACCTAGCATACTGGGTCAGGTCAAAATGGGTCAGGTCGGGGTCAGGTCAGGGTCAAAACAGGTCACGACCTGACCGTGTGTATCACTACGTATGACTGTTTTTTAAGTCTATTTAGGGCTTCCGTTTCCCGTTAAGTCCACCAATCGCCGCCCATCTGTGCAGTAGCTGATTTCTCATCTTCCGTCCATCCCTCAATCCCGTGCTTGAGCTAAGTTGATATCTCTACACAAATGTGGAAGAAAAGCAAACCAGGAATCTGCCTAAAAATGGTGAAGTAAGTAATTCCCACGCATTTACGGACAAAAATAGTAGTAATTGACTCCGTCTGATGTTCCTTCCGACTCCTGATGATGTCCAGCTTATCACCTGAACCTACCTCTGCGGATGATATAGACAAGAGTATGATACGATTTCAGATTACGATGCTTCACTGCATTTGCATCCGCTCCTTGTGCGGCCTTTCCTCGATCTTGTGATTCACCCTAGCTTGGGTCTGTCCTAGAAGGCATTGTTCCTCTTTTCATGAAAGTTATCTCTTGATCAATTGGTCCCCTCTTACTGGGACAGCCTTGATAGGATTCGGAACAATAGCCAGCCATGTACTATCGGTGTTTGTACGTTCTGTGGCAACATGATGGGTGATATTCATTGCATTGCCATGAATCGCTTTCCAGTGCAGTCGTTAGGTATATAACCTTTCTTTCCTGTACGATCATATGTATCACAGAAGGTACTTTTTTCCAATGCGTATACGTGAGTCTCTGGTCATTTGTAACTTACCAGCAACTGATGTCAAGCCAACTTCGTTTTGTATATTGTATCAACCTCAACTACGTTTTCCTATCTAGCTCCGATGCTCGTCTTTGGATTCACAATGAGATGAGAACGAGTCATGCTCGTAATTTGATCCGAAGGAAGGATTGGTGGTGCAGCAATTGCAGAAAGTTGGCTTTTCACCAAGGGGTGTACAATGATTCATTCCTATGTTGTTATGGTACATAGTGGCCCATCATGTGGATTGTGTGTATACATCCTAGCTTCTCAGTCAATCACACTCTTACCTTGCCACTGTATTCCCATACAGTATGCACAGGTTAAAACACTGTTCTGTCTGTCCGGGAAAAAGGCCACCAATCCAGTGGTTATTGAGACGGATGTCTTTCAGACATCTGGAAGGAATGATCATTGTTGCATGATCCCCGTTCGATTTCACTTCACTGTACTCAATTGTGAGAATACGAACTATACAGCAAGAGCAGTAATGTTGACTGATTGGCTTGTGATCTAACTAATCATTTTGCTGCAGTTCCAATCAAAAATGCCGGAAAGGACTCCACATTGAGATCTCAAATGACGGACTAAGCTTGAACGTGAAAACGGATGAGAATGGCGTGCCACCGAAGGAAGGTTAGAACTGACTATTTTTCACTTTCACAGGGAAACGTTCAGTAAGTTACTGTGCTTACTCCAGCAGTATTTGTCTGGCCTTTCTGGCTCACAAACTCATTTAGAAAGCGCCTCAGCCACGCCATTACCACGACCGTACTGCAGAGTCTGACTGCGCTCCTCGCATATCGCGCACCATAATGCAGCTTCCGCCGATCGTCGAATCATAAGGCTACTACCCGACTAGGCTATAGGCATGTGACGCATGTCTGTGTTTAAGTCGCGGTCGAGCCGCGTAAAGCATGGAGACAGACAGCCGAACTTTCCGCTCTCGCCGATTTGCTTCGCATATTTCTCCTTCGATCCGCCCGATACAGTTTTGTTCGGCGCGCGTGTCGCGGAGTTCTGTTTGTTATTTTCTACTAGTAGATATCCAGAGGCGACCTGGGAGAACCTACTGCCTGGTTGTATCTCAAATGAAGCAGGCTAGTGCAGCTTAGAATGGATCTCGCCTTGCACAATGACAATCTTAAAAGCACGACTGTGAGCATTATGTTCAACAAGCTCTCAAGCTAAATATCCAAAGCTTTACCTCAGCTCACACTGTTACTATCAGCGCTTTTGATTCAATATGAGTAGTTGGGCACGACCTCACACTCCAGACACACTTCGAGGAACAGACGGCCGCCCAGCTCGTCAGCCAGCATGTAATGCATGTGCTAAGGCACGCTGCAAGGTATGAGTGCTTTTGTCTAATCCAGACATTTTAACCAACTTGTATTGATATTGCATAGTGCATTCGTAAAGATGCACGACAGCGCTGCGAGAGCTGTATCTCAAAGGGTATTCCATGTGTTGTGAGTTATCGTCCTTAGTCTGATATTGTATCATGGCTTAATTGCAGCAATTTTCAAGGCACAGCCACCAAAGGAACGTGTTGCACGGAGTAATAATAATTGATTCAAGTGACGGACTGGGTAGTAAGTCCTAAATCTTGTTCTGCTGCTAGTGCAAAATAGTAAAATCTAATATTATATTTCAGAAGAAACTATGAAACCAATCTTTGATGAGTGCTTGCAGATGAGCCAGACTGAGTTAAGAGGTGAAGGTATAGGGGTGCTAAGATAGAAGTGTACAAGAGTAGACTTTTGCCAAACCAAGTCCTTGAATAAATAGGTTGAATGAAAGTAATGTTTACTTTTGACTTCCAGAAGTATAGTAACAATTGCTACTACTAAGAATGTTGAGTTACAGATTGAATAAAATGCCTTAATGACAGCTTACTCCTAAAAATGCCTCAAATGTCTTTCTTACACTAGCATACTGTAGGAATACACTGGGAGTATATACAATAAGTTAAATTGTGTATGTTACTTATTTTTTCAGCTATTCTTTACAACATACAGAGGGACGTTTTCTTTGTCCCAAAAATAGTATATTTGTAACAAAAGTTTCACAGCATAAAGAGCAGTTTATAGCAACACAGATTCATCTATAGAAATACATTAGGGTATAACAATTCCTTTGTCCATACAAGTCTACAAAGCTATATACAGAATTTCCAAAAAAAAAAATACTACTCCCTCGAACGTCTAAAGAGGAGCCTCCTTCATTCACGTTATATTACCCAACATATCTTCTACCCATCTAATAGAAAGTCAGATAGGCCTAAGAAGCATAGATAATATTACACACTGCATAAGGTCAAGATCCTTATCAGCCTTAGCTTCTTGTATCTGATTGGAAGAGAACCCTATTGTACGAAAATTTACAGGAGTGAAACACTGCATGATTGCTATCATATAACATACTACTGTTGAGACCCAAGTTGCCAACTTTGTACTGGGGATCGATGGAATCGTTGAAAACTTTATCCGAGAAGAAATCCTTTAATGCAATATTGAGAATGGAAACCAAAGAGTAATACAAGGCTCACCAATCCACCGGACAATGAACTAACTGTAGGTGCGATACCAGCGCCAGTCGAGGATCCCACGACAGGTTGATCGTACGTTTCTCGAGGAATAGGTCGCTGGATGTGCGAGTAGTCGCCAGATCCATCGAACAGGCCATTCCAGTATATTTCGGCCGTTGTGTTAACCTCTCCCTCTTGATAAGTCATTGGCAATGACATGTATTCCGACCCGAGGGATCCTGACGCGTCACTTGATGCATGTACACCAAACCCTGATGTGGACGCAGATGAGTTCTATGTGGTATAATTAGCGATGGACAAGATATAAGGAAGCGATTAGCGTACAGTATCGGCACACGCCATATTCCCGGCCAAAGGCGCTTGATCATGCCGGGAAAAGTGCTGACTTCGAATTATGGATCTCTCCGCTATCGGAACAGAATCATCAGCGCTTGAAGTTGCCTCGCCTTCACCGAAACTCATCGAGCCGAAAGTTGCAGATAACTACGTGAAATAATGGTCAGCTAGATATGATGACGGATGGATCTTGAATTTACTTGAGTAGTTGGTGAAACACAGTTGTAGGACGGAGAACCGGACAAGAGGGGACCCGCAGGTGACATCGGAGATAAAAGTGTCTGCAATGATGCACAGTTAGCATTTACCAGTAAAGATATGATATAGAAATAAAATGCAAACAATCGCTTCATCTAAAGGACTGATGACGGAAGAGGCCGTCGATTTGGCGGTGTTGCTTCGGTGGCGGGTCCGCGTGGAGCTTTGTCACGGCAGAATAAGCAGCTCGCTAATCACCGAGATGTGTTGTCCTACCTTCTTCCATCTTCGAAAATGAATTCGGTTTCCATCTGTTCCGTCTGTGTCATGAAAGAGATTCCAGATGTCTGTGGAGAAATGAGATTTGGAAAAGGCCTACGTTAATTCTGAGTGTTTCGGCAGGCCGACTTCCTGGCTTGCAAACGATACCTTTCGTTTCACATCGAGAACAAACGTTGGGAGGACCACCGGAACACTGGCAAAAGAGTGAGCTAAATGCTTCGTGGAACGGTAGTCAAATCTACTCACAGCCTGTCTGCTGTTCTTACATCCCTCGCATGGGTCCTTGTTCCTGCTTCGAGCGGCAATCGAGCGTGGATTTGTTGGATCCGTTTTTCGTTTGCGACGTGCCGCTGCTGATTTGGAGCATCCCTTACTTACAGCCATGCTAACCCATGTGGAGGACCGTGGGCCACGACATTCGAGCACGCGGTTTAAATGACGACTCGGCCATTTTTTATCGGGTCGACACAGCTAATTTCAATCTCTAGACAAATTAAGCAAGTTTCTCTTTCTGCAAATAGCTCTTCAGAGGGCTGCACCGTATATACGCAAGATATCTTAGAAAGGAAGAATGCGTCGCCGGTATCAGGGCGAAGGCTGCGGGATGTGTCGCCGCCCTGGACGACGAGCATGTCGATATTGATGGACGGTACAGAGAAACCAGTTTACTGCCTTCTTGTAGGAAGGATCAAGAAGACCCTGTGACAATACTGAAACGGTCTACACTTGCGGAATATCGGAATGATCCGGTACATACATAAAATACCGTTATTCAGGAGTACATTTTGTCGTGTAGTCAGAAAACACACGCACCGTTACACCTTCCACTCCAACTTACAACTAACAATCAACCAAAATCTGAAACGTACTGAATAACTTCAGGCTGCTTGAAGTATGGTATGCATTAGAGAAAAAGCAACCCAATGAGGGGGACCTTAGATGCTGTTTTGAATCGGCGACGATGAATATTTGCGTAATTGGCGGGGAGGAAATACAGTAACTCTGTGTCTGAGTGCCATTACTGCACTACTAAATGCCTCATCTGCTGGAATGTTGCGTGCAGCATCTTGGAAGGAGGGATGGTATTCGCTCGGGGGACACATGATTACATTTGGCGCAATGTCGATGCGTTCATTGACTCTCTCGTTCTACAGTAGACGACCTCGACCATCATTCCTGCGTACTGGGACGTTAAAATCGGAAGTATTCAAAAAAATAACGATTAAATGCGAACTTGTCACACAGATGGCTGAGAGATCGTCGGTGGTAGGTAAGAGGGAAACGGCATCTCCTTGCACATCGGAACCCTCAGATCACGTGCACAAGTAGAGAATCCAGCCGAACGAGCGTAACAGTCTTGTCCGATTGTTGTCGTTTCCGATCTATGTACTCCATCTCCGACCCTAGACCACAACCAAGTCTTCACGTCATCTCTTCGCTCTTCTATCGAAAAATTCATACGGAGTATGGAATATTTTCACCCGCCACAAACTCCTGAATCGCTGGGACCCTTAGGTGGTCGAGGGGCTAGGGTCAAACAGCTGATAGCTTGTCAATCGTGCAAGGAAGCACGCTGCAAGGTTCAATACATGTTCACTTATTCTGATAAATTACTGCATCTAATATTTCGCTATATTCAGTGTGAACGCGAGAATATAAATCAGATCTGTAAACGGTGTATTTCAAAAGGCACTAACTGTTGGGTGAGTAGGTTAAAATTCATTTTGGCAGGGACTACTTATTGTCTATACTCATCATCTAACTGTCATAACAAGACTCCTCCAAGTAGGACAACGCGTCGATAATGGTTGCATAGTGGTTACTGAACCTCTGCCCTGAGGTGCAGCTGTAAGTAAAATGTTTCAGAACACTTACAAATGCAGAGATTGTCAATTCTAATTTTACCTTTAAAGCCCATTCTCTATGATTGACTCGTATATACAGAGCCAGCTGGAATCTGTGGCATGCTGGAGGGCAAGTATAACAGAATTCTGGTGGCGGAAGTATTGAAGAGAGCAGAGAGTCGTGACTCAAGTTTATGCATTGAGATTCTATAGAGAATATATAGAGAATATTCAACTTCCATGTAACATTTGGCTAATACTGGAGAACACGGACCACTCGTACTTGCAGACTGAGTTTCTGCTCCTGCTCGAACACTGGTCTTGTATGGAATTTTTTCGTCTCTTGTATTGCATATGTTGGTAAGTCCAGGAGATACTTCGACTGGACTCCCAGGAATGGTATGTCTCAATTCTCTGAGATGACGCATGTGATGTAGTCCTGGCAGCCAACGCTTCATATGATACCCAACTGTATATACTAAGAGTACTACAAACAAGGATGGGGTCCTCATTATCTAGTATTTCAAACATGTCTGTTTGAAGATTTGAATGTTTAACTATTAATGTCTGCAGATCGAGATGGGATGCAGTCGTGAGAGACAAGACGTGGATTACTTGCATTTTGCCAAGCTGTTTCAAGAGCAATGCAACAAACTGGTTTGAAGCTGCCTGCAACAAGCTGCTTGTAAAACCCTCTATATACACTAGCTGATTGTCTTCATCATTTTGTTCCTCTTCAGTAATTGTAGATGGAATATTGTGAATCAATAAATTTGTGATCGTTTGGCAACAGTAATGTTGAGGAGACAGGAGTGGGCAAGCATGACTTTTCAGGCCTGAATGAATAATAGGAACCGTGCACAGGCAGCCTTGGAGGTGTCTGGAACTTGGTGTGACTCAAAGGATCTGGTGCCACAACTTGGAACACTAACTGTGAGGGTCTGCTTTTTGGTTATGAGACACAGTCGAGCAGACTTTGAAAATTTCCCTTTTTCAGTCGAAATGTGGTGAACAGAGTGTCCACCCTCCTTGTATTTAATGTAGAAAATACAACAGAGCAAATCTAGACTAAAATTTTGTATATTTCACTAGTTTAGATACTATTTACTATTATGTATGCCTTTTTTGAAAAAAAAATATATCAAATTTGTGTGAAAACAGACAGATTCAAGTGTATATATATAGTGTGTTGCATACATATCTTACTACACTCATAATTAATTAAATAGAGAGGATTTGAAGATTTAAAATTGATATTATATAGCTGTTTTCTTGTGTGAATATGAATATGTAGTTTGTTTTTTGTTATATTGAACGAGTGAGTTAATTTATACATTACAATTCTTGTATCTACCAAGTGCATCTAGTAATACCTTAAGCCTCTCGTCCTTTCTCCCTATGTCTTTCTCCTTCAGAATATCTCTGTTGAACCTTCATAATTTGTCAAGTTGTTCCTTTAGCTGAGGCACCTTGAGCTGTTACACTCAATCTTTGTCCAATTCAAGTGTTAATTCTTCAAGATACTCTGACTGTCTGCTTTGCTTGTCCTTCTGCTCCTGGATCCTCTGCTGCTTTACTGTAACTTCTGCTTTGTGCTGCTTGGAAATGTCGACTCTTTGTTTTTTATCTTGTTTCCCAAGAAGTCTATCCTGTACAACCTGGCAAAGATAAGCTTGTTCTTTGTCTCTGGCAAGCTTAGCTTCAATGAAGTCCT